ACATCGATGAACGGCGGTCGATGATAGTCCGACACTAGGATCTAGGCAGAAGAAAAGGAGGTAAACCTAGAGAGAAAAGGGGAACAAGAAAAATAAGAAAAATTAAAAAAAGATTTTGGTTATTTTTATATACCAATGAACGACATCATTTTAAGGGTTACTTTGGAGCATCAAATCGAGGAAATCTTGTAAGGAGGGGAGGAAAAATAGTTTTTCGGGGTGGTTTGAGTCAACCTGACCCGTGTCTCTACACCACTCAAGCCCACTAGTATTGGGTTTTCTTTGATTTGGGTTCTCATACTCATTAAGGTACGTATTCTTTTACCCATTTTTTCTTTTTATTTTTTTGGAGTTCTTTAAGTTAAATATTTTCTTCCATTTGTGTATTTAATTTCTTTCTTTCATATAGATCCAAATTTGAAATAACAAAATGTCTTTTAAAAATTCTATGAATAATAAAAACAAATGAAAATAGTTTTTTTGTATTCATTTATTTGTTTTCGTACATAAAATTTTTTAGAAATAATAAAAATTATAAAATTTAATTATTGTTATAAACCTTTTAAAAGAGAATAATAATAAAAAAAAAACATGTTTAATCATTAACTACTGTTTATAGAGTGTTGTATGCTTAAAGAGCTTAATATGGGTTGTCAAGGGTATTAATTGTTGCTGTTCGCTGTCCAGGTTGCCAGTTGTTCACTATTTGACATAGTTTTGATTTTATACTTTTTCCATCCAAGTAGCTCAATAGACAATTCGAGAGAAGATTTATCTCTCTAGACATTTATATGCTATGAAATAAAAATGTTTTTCCCTCATTCAATTTTGGGTATATTTTTGTATTGAAAACTAATTTTACGTACCCGATTAGGTAGCACGGACGGATCCTTTTCTAATTGTTGTTAGAATAATTTTAGCGAGCAAGACATCAACGAAGAAGCAACAAAAAATGAGAGGCAGAATTGAGGATCCATTTGGAATATTTTCCCATTTCCCAATACCCGCAGCCCAGACAATGTTCGTTGTTCGAAGCTTTCCACGTTTCGATCCGTCGTGTTTACTCCCGTAAGTACAGCTTCTGGCGGACGTCGTGAAACAAAACAACATTTTTCGACACCTATTTCCGCCCCTCCTTTTCTCCCGATATTTACAATTTAGGGAATCTTCCGTGGCACACGCTTTCTCGATTTTTTGTGCGGAAGGTCCCCAAAATGCCATTACTTTAAACGGATTTAATGGGAGTTTAGACTTTTGTTCGTTTGGGTTATTTCGAACCAAGAAAAATGGCAAAGGTGTAAATAAACGAACAAGAGGAGGGCATTCAAAAAGTAGGTATTGGTTTAGTTGGCATCCCGTCTCCCTCGCTTCATTCAACAAAAACTTTCATTTTGGTGTGTTTCGGTCTTTCTCTTTCCTTCGACTCCCTGGAGGAGAAACTCTCATCAAAGCTTTACCCTTTCTCTCTCTGCTTTGTTTTTTTAATCTCTTTTGGATATTTGGGAGAATACAATTTGCCAAACCAATCTCCAATAACCAAATCGAAGAAAGCTCGTTTCCTTTTTCTGTTGTTTGTGGAGAGAATAACGACGTAAAGGAAATGGCTCTCAAGTTGAATCCAATGATCTTGCCTTCAGCTCGCAAGCTACCTTGCCATTCCAATACTTTTAGATCTCCCAGGGTCTCCATGGCATCCACTCTCCATTCCACTCCTAAGTCAGTATATATTTTTCCCTTTTTGAATCATGGGGAATTCTGCTTTTTATTTTACCAAACATGGATTTTTTTTTTGAACATTGGGATCGTTTCTATTCAATGCTGAAATGAACTTAAAATTTTCTGGATTTGTTTTTTCTGATCTCATGCATTTGTTGTCTTCCCAATGTGGTCTGGTGCATTGGGAATTTTTCTTTCTTTGGGAATCCATGGGGGCTTGTTTTTCTTTTTTTTTTTGTGGTATTGATTTGGGGTTGGTAGGATACCCTTTTTCTTGAATTTTAGTGAATTTCAGTTCCGCTTTCTGTTTCGGATGTTATGTTTGCATGTTACTAAAAATCAAGCTTCTTGGGACATAATTCATGTGATTTCATTTTCTTTAAACTTTCTCAGCATTTTATTTAATGTGCCTGTTTTTGCTCTTGATGCATGCAAGTCTCTTTGTTTATTTTTATTATATAATCTTTTCTATTTTCTTGCATCATTTTTCTCTATCCAATATTGTTGTTGGGGTCGCTTTGCTTCTTCTTACGGTAATGATCAAATTATTATTGTTATTATCTTAATAATTTTGTTGATTTTGCAAATTGGATGTGGTCCTCCCTGATTGTCCTTTTCAGTTACCAGGACATGTATGCATTATTTAACTGTTTTGTTTCCCATTTGTTGAGAGTTAGGTCAGATTATTATATATATATATATATATGTTAACTTATTCCCTTGGAACTAGGTGCTGTTGGGTGACTGGTTTCAATTTCTATTGGTATCTTTCATTTAATTGTTTAAGATGTGCTTGTTTCTTTTCTATTTGGTTGGAATTGGGAAGCCATTTGATTCTTTTTCTTGAACAACAACCTTGTGTTTGAGGTTTTCCCTTATAAACTCTCTTTTGATAAGTATATCATTAAATTATTATGTGAGCAATCCCTTGGCCAAACAACTGGGAAACAAGAAAAGGATAGATTAGTGAATCAATTGTGCACTTAAAAAGTTAAGAGGTCTCCTCTTATTTTATCCTTTAGGAGCTGCCATTCTCTTAATTGAAGAGTGGTCCATTATAGCACTGCCTATCATCCTGTATTTCACCAACTCATGATTTTTCCATTACGCGACTTATTTGATCTTTTAAGTATTCATTAATGAGACAGATATGGTCATTTGCAATTCCTTACAACTTCAACTTCCTTTCTTCTCTTTGCTTATGGCATCACGGCTTTTCCTGCTTGTATTGATAGTGAGCGGTTGCCATAATTTTTTCATTTTTATGACAAATGGTTCCTTTCTTTTTGGCTTTATAAGATTTGAATATGGTTCCAATAGTTGAAGCAGCAATTGTACTTATTCTGTTTAGCTTTCATGTTTTTTCTGTCTCAATATTTGTAGTGAAATCTTTGATTTTCTCCTCTTCGCATAACACAACTATAAACAATTTTCCTTCAAACTTATTACTACGATAAATTAAGATTGACAGAAGCTGTCCGAGTTTCCTTATATACCTTTCTGATGTTACATTGAGTTAAAAACCTGTTACTTCCAAGGCTTGTGATGTTAATTCATAAGGTATTGCATTCATATTCTCTGATTCTCTCGTATTATCTCTAGCATACATGCAGTCTTTCTTTATAAGCTCTCAGCCGAACCTAAAATTGCCATGTTATCAGTGCTTCGTAACTTCATAAATGAATACTGACATTAAAATGCCGTCATAGCACAGTGTGCATAGAAAGGACCAGAATACTGCAAAATAAGCACTTTGGACTATTACAAGAGAAGTATATTTTAAGAGATTTGAGATTTGCGTCGACTTAGACTATATGCAGCCAAATGCTCCATGATCCAGATCAACCAATTTGTTGCAGAGTTGAATGTGTCGGAATATTTTCTGACCTCCAATCTTCTTTTTGAGTTTCCTATTGCTTTGTTATTTTAAGAACGATGAAGAGGAAACAGAGAAGAAGGAAGCTATTGAATTTTCTGCATTTTGTCATTTATATGTGCAATTACTGCTATGAATTTGAAGACAATAAGTCCTACCGGTGCCCATGAAAGTTGTTACTGTAACAGCACATAAAAGCTTATGTTACTAAGTCCATTCCTCCCTTTATCTCTTGGTTACAGAGAGGTCAACAATCTAAAGAAGCCATACTGCCCTCCACGAGAGGTACATGTTCAAGTTACACATTCCATGCCACCAGAAAAGATAGAGTTGTTCAAGGCCTTGAATGATTGGGCTGAGAAGAACATTTTAGTGCTCCTGAAGCCGGTTGAGAGTAGTTGGCAACCAAGTGACTTTTTGCCACTACCTGAATCAGAAGGATTCTATGATCAAGTCAAGGAATTGAGGGAAAGGTCCAAAGAGCTTCCTGATGATTATTTTGTTGTGTTGGTTGGAGATATGATCACAGAAGAAGCTCTTCCAACTTACCAGACAATGCTAAATACTCTGGATGGCGTTAGAGATGAAACTGGTGCTAGCCTTACTCCTTGGGCTATCTGGACCAGGGCCTGGACTGCTGAGGAAAATAGGCATGGTGATCTTCTCAACAGGTATCTGTACCTCTCTGGACGAGTGGACATGAGGCAGATTGAGAAGACAATTCAGTATCTGATAGGATCAGGAATGGTAAGATCATCATTCTCCTTTATTTTCTTGCATTTTTTTGGCAAAATTTTGATTATTTCTTGCCCGTCTTAGAGTTTGGTTACTCCATATAGACAGGAAAAATAGAAAATATTATGCATGCAAAAGGAAAGCCCTTTTCTCCATCTGGAGCTATCCCAGTAACTTCCTTTAAGAGAACTTTGATAAAAAATGGACACTAGTATCCTGATGGCATATTACGAAGCGATATCTTGTTTTGGCCATAAATTTTCTGAAATCGAAGCTTCTGCCTAGATTTCATTCGTAATAAGTTTCTCAATTTCTTATTACTGATAAGATTTATTTATGTCAGCTGGACTCATTTTATTATTTGGAATATCATGAAAATATGTTGGTGTTTTATGGTTCATACTCTGGAATACTAGTGTGGAACCACCTATTTTATTGTCTGTATATATTTGTATAGTCTAAAACATGAGCAAGTATAATGGTCTCTTGATTGGTGTAAGCTAAGGAAACTTTAATTGAGCTCTTTTTGCATGGGCAATTTGATCTTTTAGATGAACCTATGCATCAGGTCAGCAACCATAATGGACTCTGTGTGAAGTTGATGCCTTAAATGCTACTTTCATTAACTTTGTCAATGTTAATTTATTGATGGCTTTGAAATTGTTTGTTCTAACAGTCGACCTTCTCCTTACATTAATTTCTTTTCCTTCTGGTTTATTGCTAGGATCCTAAAACAGAAAACAACCCCTACCTGGGTTTTATCTATACCTCATTTCAAGAGAGAGCAACATTCATTTCCCATGGAAACACAGCAAGGTTAGCTAAGGAACATGGGGACTTGAAACTGGCTCAGATATGTGGTATAATTGCTTCAGATGAGAAACGTCATGAAACTGCCTATACTAAAATTGTGGAGAAGCTCTTTGAGATTGATCCTGATGGCACTGTATTGGCCTTAGCTGACATGATGAAGAAAAAAATCTCAATGCCAGCCCACCTAATGTTTGATGGCCAGGATGATAACCTATTCGAGCACTACTCAGCTGTTGCTCAGCGGATTGGAGTCTATACTGCTAAGGATTATGCTGATATATTGGAATTTCTTGTGGGAAGATGGAATGTAGAGAAGCTGACAGGTCTTACTGCTGAGGGATGTAGGGCGCAAGAGTTTGTGTGTGGACTACCTGCAAGGATTCGAAGGTTGGAGGAGAGAGCTCAGGCTAGGGCTAAGCAAACATCCACTGTTCCTTTCAGTTGGATTTTTGAGAGGAAATTGATTGTTTAATTGTATTGCCTCTAGACTGCTACGTACTACTGCTGGCAAGACTGTTCTGTGCTATCATCATTTCAGTGGAACCTTGTGCGTGAGGAGATGTGTAGTTGGTTGCAGTAGGTCAACAGAAAGAGGACAAGTGTAGTTTGAGTGTGTTAGGTCATTTTGCCCCTTCTACTGGGTAACTAGACACGGTTGTTATTTTGCTCTAAAACGTGCTCGGTAAGCGTTTTCTGTTTTGTCAAAATAGAATGTTGATGTAAGCTAAACATACATTCTCTCCCCATGAATGTCAGTGAGTGGGGTTTTTTTTTTTTTTTTTTTAAACAAATTCAAATAATGAATGTTGGTAACTTCAGGGTTGTAAAAAAAGTGAAATGGTTTTAAGATTGAGGCAAATTGAAACTATCTTGGCATTCCACCCTTTTTACCTTTTCCATTTAAGCATGTGAATTCATTTATGCGATTTATATCTTCTTAATTCAATCATTGAAGATTGGTTTTAGAACGATGTGCAATGTTGTTTTCCATTTATTTACAAGCTAGCTGACTATTTAATTGATAATAAAGAAACTAATTTTGTTGAAAAACAAAATTTACAAGGGAAAACTTTGTTCTTTAAATTTCATAAAAAGAAGTATTTAGATAGCCGCTTTGGAAATAAAGATACAAGTAGCATAAGATGATTTTAATAGCTAATCAATATCATTAGCGTTTTCATTCCATGTCCTCCTTTGATTAGGACCATTAATACAAATATATTAAGGAATCGAAAGCACATGAATTGAAACAACAAAGACAACCCAAAACAAGACCTCCCATAAAATGAATAGAAAAGCGAAAACAAATTTCAGCAGCACAGCAGGCACTAATTACCATGCCATCATCAATATAGAATTTAGACTTGGAAAGGCCATGGCCAGTCCTTCAAATCCTCATCCTGTTGCACTTTTGCACTCATCTTCATAGCTGTAGAATTCCCATTAACATCACCTCCCACATATGCATAGCACTTCAAGAAGAAAGCAAGTGTTAAAACCACCCACTCCAAGCAAAAGATGAGCGCACAAAGCCCACCAGCCAGCTTCAAGATCACTGCGCCATCATCTTCCCTCACGTAAGACTTCAAATTACCAAGAAAATCACTTGTCCTCGTGAAGATCAAAACTGACACTGATCCTTGAAATATTGCTGTCAACACGGTCGCCACCATGTGGGCTGCATACCATCTGTTAGTCCCCGAAGAGGCGGCGGCGTAGCCGGACACTGCCCCTGCTATGGTTGAGACGTGAAGGAGAATCAAGAAGAAGCCAAAGAGGGAAGGGAATAAGCGCAGAGAAAGTGTGAGGAAAATGCAGCTAGAGGCTGCACCAAGAAGGATGTAGTTGCAGAAGAGGAAGAACTTGTGAGTGTGGTAGTGGGATCGAGTGATTGTGGTTTGAGAAATGGTGTTTAAGTGGATAGCCATTCGCACTTGGGGAGGAGGGCGGGGTCGGGAGTTTGCTGAAATTTTGATGGATTTCCTAATAATTTTCCGACTTTGAGAGGTGGGGAATGATTGATTTTGAGAGGGGATAATTTGTGCGCAGATATAAAGGGTGGAAAATGTGGAGAGTGAAGGTCTACAACGGATGATTGGACAAGAAGAATAATTTCGTGGCCGTTGGGAGGACCCACTTTAAACAAAATGTAACGGCTAGTTTGCCTTGGGTTCTATCTAAATTAAAGCCAACTCTTTTTTTAATTTGGCTTTGCTACTTCTGAAGTATCATGGTCTTGTTGGAGATTTTTAGAAATTATTTGTTGTTTCAGGCGTTGTTATTCTTTCCTTAATTCTATTATTTCTGATTTTATCTTTTTGATTTCAGAATTTAATTCTTGTTTGATTATCTTTTTTGGTTTTATTCTTTCATATGGATCAAAAATGATATTTTTTATGTTGTATATTGGATCTTGTTCTGTTGTTTTCTCTAATTTATTCTCAGTGGACGATTTTATAGTTTCTCTTAATTTTTCCAAATATTCTTTTTTGAGAGTTGGATCATGGATTTTATCTATGATTTCAATTATAAATTCTTGGTCTTTTGTTAAAACTTGAATTGAATTTTTAGTTTCAGTTTCTGATTAGGAGGATAGAGATGTTGTTTGGATTTCATCTATCTATAATTCTTCTGTTGATTCTAAAAGAGTTTCTGTGTCTGTGGAGGATTCTATCAGAATTTCATTTTTTTTATTCAATTTCTTCTCCTAGTTGTAGTTGATTAATTTTTCTTTTGATTTTACAGTATTTGGAAATATGTCCTCTTTTTTCACATTTAAAACATTTTATTGTTCTATCTAATTGTTTAGGTTCTTTATTTTTTTCTTTTAATTTTTTTATATTGTTTATACTTTGGTGTTTAAAACTTCAACATTTCATTCATTACATTTAAATTCCTTTTGTGGATATCTAATCAAAACAAAAGAAAAAGGAATCCCGATACAAAATCAATATGAAAATATCCAATTATTGGATCAAGAGACTATCAATAAATTAAAATCTCAAAATTATAATTATATTCATTTCGAATTAATTCAAGTAAGAGCAAAACCTCTAACAAAAGAAGGGTTAGACAGCTCAATATTAATTATATTAAGAGATAAAAGACATCTTCGATCTAATGATTCATTATTAGGAACCATAGAAACAAGTTTGTACAAAGGACCAATACATTTTAACTATTTTCCAAATTTCATTGTTTCTTTGAAAGATAGAAACATCATAAATTCATTAACACTTCAAATCCAAACCCTTAATTATGAAATGATGCTCAGATCTAAACCTTTAATAGTTGTTTACAGATTATATTACAAAGCAATGTACTCTGTAATAAACACAAAGTCCAAAACTCTCCCAGAAATTAATTAGATCATGGTACGAAATATGTATCTAAGAAGAAGAAGAAAAGCAAACCCAACAAACCCAACATTCTTCTCCAAATCCTACCAAAGATGAAAATACCCTCCAAAATGCCCAAGATCCAAATGAAATAGATTCTCAAGTCTATAAATGGATTGAATCTCTTTCAAATTCCCTAGAAGTGGCCTTGGCTTTAGCCTCCAAAAATGAAAAAGACACAAACAAATTGCCATCTCAGCTCTCCAAAAATCTTAAAGAAGAGAAATAGTTCTCCATAAATCAAAACCATAGGAACAGACTTTAGAATAGCTAGAGCTTCTGTTTCCTCAATACCTATGGTTAAGACAAACTTACAAAGTATAAAAAATTCCTCCAATATACCTCAACCTGTATACAACTGACAGGAAAACACTTTGTCAAATTCACCAAATATGTCTCCAACTTATTCTTCCATGACAAACAATCCAAATTTACCTCAAAATCAAGAAAATGAATCAGAAATATATGTCTGGGAAAATAGATTTTGAAATCAATAAAGATTGGTGTAGAAGACAATTCTGCTCTGACAAAAATAAGTAAAAAAGAAAAATCTATTTTAAAAAGTATGATCAACAGAAAGATGAAATATTAAAAAATTACTATAATTTCATGAAAAAACATAAAATACTAATAGAATTTTTTGAATGGTTCGAAGAATATGAAGAGCCACAATTAAACACTTTAAAAACTACTAATAAATGGCACCAATTAAACACTTTAAAAACTACTAATAAATGGCAGACAAACAAGGGAGAAATAGAAACATATCACCCTCCAATGACAGAATGAGATCACTAGATTTAGGAGAACCTGTTACCTCAAAAGATATTAAAATGATAGAAGAACAAAATAATTTCACAAATTTAAATCTATATACCATTTCTGAAGAATTAGAAACTATTGAAACAAAATTACAACATCCAACTCAAGTTCAAAATATACAAACCCTTCTGGTTCAACAAGCAATAAAACCTGCATTCATACCTTTTGAAATACCCAATAAGTGCCAACAACCAGAAGACAAGCAGTTCTATATATAATATGTGAAGGTCTATTATGCCATAATCCAAGAGTATAGATTAGCTTAAACAGTCAAGTAGGTCAAATAGCCCAACATGCCAAACATAGAAGTGCAATTTGATTTGAATTCTTATATTTAATTATGTATATCTAGATTTAGATGCAGATTAGATTAAATTAAGACTAAAATTTAATTCATCAAAATAAAATCCTTAGCATTATCTTTATTTTATAAGTTCTATCTATATAAAACATTTTTTGCTTATAAATAGGTTTTTTTACTTCATTTGTAAATACATATTCTCGAATAAGATCCTTTTATTTTTTTAATACTTTTCTTTCATACTTTTTCTTTCAATTTATATTTTACAACACGTTATTAGCACGATTTTCTAATCTCTCAAGTTTTGGTATGTTAGTACAATAAGCTTACTATGAAGATTTTCAAGAGGGGTGAATTGGAATATTTTAAAATTTCTTTCCAAATTTAAAAATTTTCTTAAACTAAGTCCTTTTTGTAGAGTGAAAGAAGCAAATAACACAAATAAATTTGAGACAAATAAGAAGGAAAACAACATAAAAATTTTTATAGAGGTTCGACCTCTTTACCCACATCTTCTCCCTTAGATTTACTAAAAAGTATAAAATTTACTATTGAAATTACGCAACTAAAACTAATTTGATTACAAATTAAAGCAATAAGATAATTGGGCAAACAGCAAATCAAACAAGCCTAGGATTACAATATCCCTCACACTTCATCTAAATCTTACCTCTCTTTCTTAACTTATTTGAATGGGTTCAATTGCTAACCTAGAGTCCTAAATTATTTATAAGGGTCTTCCGACTCAT